ACATCACTGCTATTGCAATTCAAGGCATCAATAGCTCATGGCTCATTGGAAGACCGAAGACATAGGTTTATATACATATTATCAATATAAGAAATATACATATTATCAATATAAGAAACCTGTCGGTTCTTATTGGAACTTATATTAATATTTTGAATTCAGTACAGATGAAGTCTCACATTTGGATATAGTTGAGCAGAATTTTACTATACTATTCATATTCATTTCTATTGAGTAATTCCACGAGAATTATAAACAAAAACAAGAAACTAACTTTGACTTTGTGCACATGTAGTATGAAAAGATCTAGTGCCGTTTCCTATTCTTGGAACTTTCCCGAGGTTCTTGGTTACATGAATTATTCCCAGCCTCAACATCCATCCACCTTGAATTTGCGAACATGCTATGTTTATTTACAGCAGTAACTTAAACGAGGAGATGTTAGTTTGTATTGATAGTTAATTTAATCTTACAGTGACCATGTCATCATATTATTTATTTAAATCTTTTAATAACTTCTAATTATATTATACTATATCCTAAAGTTGTTGAAGATGAACAATGCTTAGCTACAATTCATCTTCAATATCTTTATCATAAAGAATAAAGGTGAAACTTTGACAATAAATGTTGCTTGGCTAAGTATGTGAGACTCTTTCTTTGAATATTAACGGTCCCAGGTTCAATCCTTGACTATGATATTCATATAGTTCATTTATGTATAGAAACGAAGTATTGCCCCGTTTATTTTCAAAACTACGCCCTTAATTTTCTTCCAATATTAGTTCCTTCAAATCTTCCATATCTTGCAAAATAATCCTCATATCATTGGAATTGCTATTAGGTCCACAATTTATTGGTCCCCCAAGTCATTAAAAATGCTATTAGGTTCAGCGACTATTACGTTATTTTAAACTCATTTTGTATTTCAAAGTTTTACCCCAGATACTTTGAAACCACACACTTAAGAAAATTTCCTTTTCGACAGTCATTCTTTCAAATCTTTTATATCCTACAAATTAATCTCAAATCACTGAAATTGATATTAGGTCTAACAATTTCTTTAAAGCTACATCTTTTTATAACTGACACACTGGAAATGTCATGCACTAGTACATCAAATAGTTCCTTCGGGGTCCAGTTTGCTAAATTTCCCACCAAGAGACTTCAACATGGGAGTGTCACTTAACAATCTAAAACTGTAGCCTTTATACATGCAACTCAAGACCATGTATCCAAGAAACAACACATCCAAGGTAGCTGACATACTAGAAATGGCATACACTAGTACATCAAATAGCATACATACATGCAGCTCAAGGCCATGTATCCAAAAAAACAACACATCTATGTAGCTGACATACTAGAAACATGCACTGGTACATCAAATAGTTTCTTTGAGATCCAGGCTGCTAAATTTCCCACCAAGAAATTTAATGTTGAAAAATAATATAATTAAAGAATATTAGAGGGGTTTTTTGTAAATGTGGGTGTAAGGCTATATAAGCCAATTTATTCTATCAGTGAGAATATGATCTTAAACCCTAATCTTTCAATATGGTATCAGAGATCCTAACCTAGCCGCCTCCCTCTTCAACCCAAGAACAAATCCGAGGGCTTGGTGCAGGTACTTCATCTTCTGGCGAACGAGGCCGCCGGAGAGCGCGATCTCCTCCGGACGACGACAACGCGATCTCCTCTCACCGGACGACGACGATGAGTTGGCCGTGAGGAGCTCCTTGGCCACGATCGACGCCCGACGAAACCACTGAAGACCGACGACGACGACGAAGATCGAAATATGCCCTTTGACCTAGCCTCCGACGAGGTCCAGATCTACGTCGTCTTGTAAGTTTCTCGTGGATATTGAGGCGGCGGAGCTGCTGTTGCTGCCATTTCCCAGCGATGGAGAGAGCTAGGGTTTCTGGGAAGCTTGGCTGTTTGAAGGACGAGATGGGAACCTTGGCTGTTTGAAGGACGAGAGAGGGCAGAATTGAGAGGGACTTGGCTTTATTGTTGTGAGCAAAGAAATGAGAAGGGCAACTCTGCAAAACAGGAGACATTAAAGGAGGCGAGTGGTGGCCTTTCGAAGGGACGTCATCACCACTAGGGTTACGGTTCCGGTGTTTTTTCCTTTTTGGGGGAGTCCTTTTTTTGTGATTCGGGGATTTG